ACAGCGTCCCATGTACAAAATAGATGTTAGCACAGATGTTAGCTCAGGAAAAGAGCTAACAAAATCTTCCTCAGCAAAAAGAGGAAGATTGGCAAATCTTCAGCAAAAAAAGGAGGAAGATTGGCAACAGATGTTAACTCATGACCAATCTTAAAAAAAAAAAAAAAATGCCCAGGAATGAATTTCAAAAAATTTAGTGAAAAGGGCAAAATGAATCATTCTTAAAAAGTTATCTGTATTACAGCATGGTAGACTGCTTCATGCCCATAGAGACATAAGTCTGAAGTCAAACTATATTTAACACAGTCTTTATCAAGCAGATAAGTAATTGATGAACTTTAGAAAAGAGTATCTCCAAAACAACTGTTATTTTAAATCAAGAGTTCTTAAGCTTGCATGAATTTCTACAGAGTCTGTGAAACTTATGAAATTGTAAGCAAAATTTCATATACATGTGCATTTTTTTCTAAGGAGACAATCGTCAGATTTTCAAAGAGGTCTAAGGCTCAAAAATGTTAAGAGCTATTGTTATAATTTAAAGTTCATCTAATTACAAAAAAATGTGAAGTAGATTATAAAATTTAAAAAAATATGTAAAACAAAATAGTTAAAATAAATGTCTAAATAAATCAAAAACTATTTAGTATAATATAAACTATTATACTGCATAAAATGCGAATGTGTGGCATTCAGTGAGTTAAGGGTCTGTTGCCTAAAAAGTTTGCTTACCTATTCCCTAAGAAAGCTGAATAAATGTGGTATTGCCATACATTTTGCTTGGACAATAAAGAAGGGTGAAAGAGCAAGAGCTTAGAAATCAGAAAGACCCAAGTTCAAATCTCAGCTCAATTTATTAGCTATGTGAACCTAAATGAGTTCCTAAATCTCTTGGTACCTCATACTTTCTTCCTTGATAAAAGGAAGAAATTTCAAGAATTAAATGAAGGCTTAGCTAAGTTTCCTGGTACATAATAAGGACTCAGTAAACAGTAGCTATTATTACTGCTGTAAACATTTTTTTGTTGTTGTTGTTAGTGCTACTGAGTCAATTCTGACTCCTAGTGACCCCCTGCACAGCAAAGCAGAACCCTGCCAGGTCTTTCTGCGCCATCCTCTCACCTTCCAGCACTATATCAGACAATGCTCCAGCTGCTATTCATAGGGTTTTCATCACCAATTTTTTTGTAAGTGGGTGGCCAGATGCTTCTTCCTAGTCTGTCTAGATTGGAAGCTCCACTCAAACCTGTCCACCATGGGTGACCCTGCTGGTATTTGACATACCAGTGGCATAGCTTTCAGCATCACAGCAACATACAGCTGCCACAGCATGACAACTGACAGATAGGTGGTATGGTTCCCTGACAGGGAAACAAACCTGGGCCAGGGTGGTGAGAGCACCGAATCTTAACCACTAGATCACCAGGGTTGGCTAAAACATTTTATTACATAGATAAAATATATTTCAAGTCCTTAAAATGAGTGGAAGAGAAACATACTAATAGGTGATCATTAATTCAAGATAATGATATTGTACCATATTTAAAGCTTAAATTAGATATTTTACCAAGTGTTCCCATTTGTGAATTTAAGTCAGTTAAAACCTAAGATCTCAAGAATAATTGTCTTAAGTTTAGTATACATTAGGATCCACTGGACCCAATTTTAGTTCTTGAGTTTCTTTTTTGAGCTATTCTATTTGTAAGGACTGATATTTTATGACTTGCATTCTTTCTTAGAGGTCTTCCAAAAAACAAATAGAAAATTTAGTTATTTTTTAAAAATAGAATAAAACTCATTCTATATTAAAATTACCATACCATATCCACTGGACTCTTTTGTAAATCTAAAATACATTATGGGATCTTAGTGTTCTTGTTTTTCATATATATATATATTTTTTTTTTTTTTTTTTTAGATTTTATTTATTTATTTTTTCCCCCCAAAGCCCCAGTAGATAGTTGTATGTCATAGCTGCACATCCTTCTAGTTGC